AGAATAGCCTCTAACGCGACAGTTGACTAACATGGCCTGTTGTTGATGATGTTTTGGGTATTTATTTTAGGTTTGACATAAAACTATTTAAAACAAACAATAGTGACAAAAAAGCTAAGTTACCAAACAGGTCAACTAGGTATGTAGACTAATAAAAAGTTGCGAGTTACTAAGTGTCACTACTTTTCAACCGACTTCAAAAAAAGGAGGAGGTTCTCAATTCGACCCGTATGTTTTTTTTTTTTTTTTTTTTCTATATTTGTTACGCGATTACTCCGCCAATTATGAACCGATTTGAAAAATTCTTTTTTCGGCGTATAGGTAATACCTCAAGGTTGGTCCCATTTAAATTTACTAATAAAAATAACAACCCCCAAGGGTGGAAAATAGGGGATGAATTTATTTATACGCAATAACTCCGCCGATTTTAAACCAATTGAACGATTATTTTTTTATTGAATAGGTGTTATCAAAAGGGTGGTTTCATGCGAATTTGAAGAAAATATTTCACCCCCAAGGGTGGAAAATTGGGGGATGATTTTTTTATACGCAATATCTCCGCCGATTATGAACCAATTTGAACTATTATTTTTTTGTTGAATAGGTATTATCAAAAGGATGGTTTCATGCGAATTTGAAGAAAATATTTCAACCCCCAAGGGTGGAAAATTGGGGATGAAATTTTTTATGAAAGTCTAGAAGTCCGCTGCTCATCACTCTCCTTTAATATATTTTTAGCATTTCTTTCTCTACTTTCTTTTAAACGCACTTCCCTTTCTTCTTTTGTTTCCTCCAAACGGCGCTGTCTCATTAAGGCTGCGCGTTTAGTAGGCCTACCCATATTAAATGCACTAAGGGTATCTACAAAAAAGTAACACTAAAAATTTTAAAATAAAATAATTAACTTTTTAAAAAAAATAAAACCGACTTCAAATGCGAGAACACAAAAAAAAACTAAAAATTAAAAAATAATTCCTAATACCTATTACCTAATACTATAATTTTTCTAAACTATATCAAAGTAATTAAAGTTAAACCATCTAAATATCTTAAAATAGTTATACTTATATACCTACCTATTGGTTTTTGGAGTCGGTGCCAGTAATAAATGAATATTAAACCTAATGAAATAGAAAAAGTACTCAATGAAACAAAAATATTAAGAAATAAGTTGTATGTAGCCTGGTACAACTAAACCTATACCAACAAAGAATAACAAATACCTACAAATCCTACAATAGAATACAACAAACAAAAAAGAAAGCAATAATTTGAAATATTGCGCATCCGAAAATTCAGTATTTTTGACACGAGCGTCAACGTAGTCTGCCCTCAAGCGTCTGCCCGCCTTCGGGTCGCTTACTCGAGCAAGACCGCACGCGCCCGCGTCCCCGCCGCACCGCGCGGCCCCGCCTCGCGCCATGCGTCCCCCGCCACCGCGTCGCACGTCTCTAGTTCGCGGGTAAACTTTAATACGCTGGCACTGGCACCGACTCCAAAAAACAATAGGTAGGTATATAAGTATAACTATTTTAAGATATTTAGATGGTTTAACTTTAATTACTTTGATATAGTTTAGAAAAATTATAGTATTAGGTAATAGGTATTAGGAATTATTTTTTAATTTTTAGTTTTTTTTTGTGTTCTCGCATTTGAAGTCGGTTTTATTTTTGTAAGAAAAATTTCGTTTTTTTTTTTAACGAGCTGACGGATCACCTGACTGTAAGCAATCGGCGTCGCCCATGGACACCTGGAACACCAGAGGCGTTTCAAGTGCGTTACCGGCCTTTTGAGGATTAGGAGTGGGAGGGTAATTGGGCCTCCGGTAACCTCACTCACACGACGAAACATAACGCAAGCGTTACTTCACGTCGGTTTTCTGTGAGGCCGTGGTATCACTCCGGTCGAGCCGGCCCATTCGTGCCGAAGCATGGCTCTCCCACACTTGTTTGCATACTGCACACACCAATTTGTTGCATAAGGGGTCAAGTTTGTTGTATGGTTGTTGATTATAACTGTCTCATGGACAAACAAAGAAACATAAAAGAGATGTATAGTTAAGTAGCTATTTTTATTTATTCGATTATAATCATAGTATACATACCTATAATATAAATAACGCTGGAATAAATATAACATTAATTTTTAATGCTGGTTTCAGGTTTCGACGAAATGTAAGTAATGTCGAGGAGTTTGCAATTGTCCCCGATATTATTGTGACTCATTATTATATGGGATCCAAAACGTAATTTGTTCAAAGTGGGTACTTGCGGTATAACTCTACTTACACTTTGAAGGTTAAAAAAATCGTGCTGTTAACTCATGTTCAGCTTGAAAATGTCACATAGTAAAGGCGCCATGTCATTTCTCAAACTTATTACTTAATCAAAACTTATGTCGTCAAAAGAAAGAAAGAAAGAAAAATAATTTATTCGCCACCAGACATGGGCCACCGAATAACATACAAAATAACATTGAAAAACAAAATAAAAAATACAAAAAAAAGCAATAAGAACATAAAATAACATAAAAAAAAATATCAGTAAAAAAAACAATTAAGGCAAAAAGAAACATGAAAGAACAGGATGGCAGCATGTCCACGACGAAAGGGTTCGCCAGTCTAAGCTGTAAGCTGCAGTAAGATAAAAACCTGGTTGATCTCTCAAGGCCCGAAAAGAAAAAGCGGAATTTGACAATCATTAAAACATTGCATTTATTATTTAATATACGGAGTTGACATTACCTAAAGAAATACCCTGTAATTTAATGTTAATGGATGTTATATCGGAGAACGGATGTTTCATAATGCCAAAAAAGTAGCAGAAAAAATTGGCATATGTAAGTATATGTCAATTTTACTAAAATAGGTACTACACAAATACATAGGTACATAGCCTAACACCTGTCTCTTATGGGGATAAGCAGAGACTATGGAATGCCAATTGCTACGATTCTTACATATACCTACACCTCTTTCGCTTCATCAACAGTCATCAGTATGTTCATGCAATCTCGTCGGTTCTTTTGTGCCTTTAGGCTTAGGTCATTCATCTTCTGTATCGATTTAACGAGGGAATTGGAAGCTATCATTTTTTTATAGGATAAGCCGGAAAACGATGAGACGGATCACCTGATGGTAAGCAATAGACATTGCTCATGGACACCAGGAACACCAAAGGCTTTACAAGTGCGTTACCGGCATTTTCGGGATTAGGAATTTGTTGGTTGTCGGGGATTCGGGGATCAGGGAGTTTGAGAGGTAATAATGGGCTCCGGTAACATCATTCACACGACAAAATACAATACAAGCGTAGTTTCACGTGGGTTTCCTGTATTACTTCGGTTGAGCCGGCCCAAGAATATACATAGTATAGATTAGTGAGAAAAATGTGGAAGCAGATTTTTATTATCTTCTTTAGAAAAAAGTGATAAAATGAAAAGTGAGTGACGTTATCATCACACGTTATCATACAATCAATCCAGATAAGCAGGTGTGAGTACACTGACGTCACAAGAAACAGTTGAGCTATTTTTTCTTTTCGTAGATCTAGTTTTTTTTATGGGATGAGCCGGTAAACGGGTCTTGTATTACAAAACAAAATTAACAGAACTACTGGGTTTGCATATTGACTGAAATTTAAAGTGGCATGCTCAAATCACCAACGTATGCAAGGGGTTACTGGATCATTACGTGCTCTGTATCGCGTAAAAAATTTGCTTCCTCCCGCTACGAAGGACATGTTGGTGCAAGCCTTGGTTTTCCCTATCATCGATTATGCTGATGTCTGCTACTATGTCCTGAATGCACCTACCATTTACTCTTCTCTGCATCACCCAAAGGTCAGACTGGTAGAAAATGCCTGGGGCATTAAGTCCACCTATTTGTACATTTTGTGCATGAAGCATATTGAATAAATAAATAAAACTACGGAATTATTTCTGAAATACGATTCTGTCGTTACTGTACATAATTTTCTTAATACAATGTCATCGTAATAGAATAATAACAATATAAACTTTGTAATAGAGTATGGTTAAGACAAAATTGCTAATCATAGTGTTATATTAGACTACTCTTAGTTGCGACTTTGTCCATATTAAATTTAGTAACGTGCAAAGTACCTATGAAGAATTAGAGACAATGAGGCTTCAAATTACTTGAAATATGGGCAAACGTTTGATTTTTAAAGTACTGACGTACTTTTTATGAGAGGGAAAATCATCCATGACTTCTCCCTCCCGCCTTGGGTGAGGCGAGAGGGAGTGTCAGACTCTTACTGACTAAAAACCACCTCGTTCTTTCTCCTGCACTTCGAGCCCGAGCCACGGCAACCCGTTAAGTCCTCCGCGGCTCCGTATCGGCATTAGCGGTACTGGGCCCCATCTGTGGTGGTCTGATAGCTCTTTGAAGCGAGTATTCTTAAAGTACTGGGACAGGAAAAAGATAAACTATAATTTGCGTTATAGCTACCGATTATCGAAACCATTAAAATATGAAAGACATTATTAATTAAGTAAAAACGCGGGTTACTCACGTGAATATACTGAGAAAAGCTCTACTAGTTTCGAACCACAGAGGGGTTCTTCCTCATGAGCAGCGTGCGCGGTCGCGGCGACGTCGCGCAGCTCACTCGAGTGACTGACAACTCAGTATAACTAGTAGAGCTTTTCTCAGTATATTCACGTGAGTAACCCGCGTTTTTACTTAATTTAGTATGTCTCACGATAGTTATTATAAAAACATTATTAATTCACGTCATATATTATTATTTCACGAAAAGACTTCACAAAGTGTAAAAAAATCACTTACTACCTCTATAAAGAGAATATCATATTTCCATATCTCTGAGTATCTCTAAAGATAAGTATTCTTATAAGCAAACAGATATACATACATACTAACAGACTGTGTTTATATTCTTTATTATAGGCATATACGTGTATAAGAATTATTATCATAGTAACCATGTATTAGTAAAGTCAACGACAGTTTTTTTTTTATGAGGCATACAGGTAATGAAATTGTGTTTTTGTTAATGAAAAAGGAAAAAAGTGTTATACGATTCTTTCATGAAGAAATTGTGCAATATAACTACACACTATTGTTTAAAAAGGAATCAAGCTTTATACCAGGTAAGTAGATACTTATTTTATTGTTTTTTGGGGTGGAAAATCATCCAATGACTTCTCCCGCCCGGTTGAGACGAGAGGATGTGTCAGATTCTTACTGGTTAAAAACCACCTTGTTCCTACTCCTGCACTTCGGACACTCCTGGCAACCCGTTAAGTCTTTCGCGGCTCCGTATCGGCATCAGCCCTGTTGGGCCCCATATGTGGTGATCTAATGGCTCCTTGAGGCGCGCGAGGAACGCGACGCACCGTACCCTCGGGCCTGGTTCTAGTCGGGCGGCGAGTCGAACCTCCTTAATACAAATTAATGTACTCTGTGGAGTCACCTGTCCTCACCGTCCGCAGGCCCGTGAGATAAGTAGATACTAATGTTACTTCTCGAAATACTTAGGGTACGTTCGCCTGTTTGCGTCCATGCTACAAAACGCCCTTATAAAAATCCCGTAAATAAAAAATACCACCATACTTCATAATGGTTACACGTATACATTTATGGCGATCAAACATAACATAACATAGCATCACGCCTTTTATACCCGAAGGGGTAGCCAGAGGTGCACATTATGCCACTGTACAATGTAACACCCACTTTTCACTATTTATGCTATGAGTCCCATGTAATAGGGGGTGAGCCTATTGCCATATACCGGGCACAATTCCAGACTCCGTGCTACAACTGAGAATTTTTAAAAACCCTGTAGTTCTTTGCCCGACCCGGGAATCGAACCCGAGACCCCTTGCCCGGCAGTCGCACCTGCGACCACTCGGCCAACGAGGCAGCCATTTATGGCGATCAGTAAAATAGAAATAGTTTTTAAGGGTATTTTAGACACTATTGAAACAACTATTATATATACAGATATTATTCTATACATATAATACAATCGTAGGAAGGTCAAAACTAGTAGTGAATAAAGAATTATAGAGGTACAATCTACATTGATTAAAAAGCAACCGTAAAATGTTTTGGGTTAAGTGCAAAATTTGAAAACGACGACAAAAATAAGAAGAACAAAGTAAGTTTTACAAGAACAAATTACGAATTAAAAGTCAAGGGCACTTTTAAAAGTCAAAAAACTAGTTAGATCGTTATTTAAAAATAAAACATGTCTGTTTTTCGCTTCATAACACATTGTAAATCTCTATAGAATGAAAAGTATAAGGGTAAGCCATAATCCCCACAATTGTGTGAGTGTGGGAGAGCCATGCTTCGGCACGAATGGGCCGGCTCGACCGGAGTGATACCACGGTCTCACAGAAAACCGACGTGAAACAACGCTTGCTTTGTATTTCGTCGTGTGAGGTTACCGGAGGCCCAATTACCCCCTCCCCTTCCTCAATCTCCCAAATCCCTCAATTTCCAACGATCCTCAAACTCCTAATCCCAAAAAGGCTGGTAACGCACTTGTAACGTCTCTGGTGTTCCAGGTGTCCATGAACGACGCCGATTGCTTACCATCAGGTGATCCGTCTGCTCGTTGACTGACTTATGCCATAAAAAAAAACCTTGGCTAAGATTAAAAGGTTAAAGATAAGAGTACACTGTTACACAATCTCTGTTCTATTGTTTGTTGTTCTTTAGTCGGCTCTTTAAACACTCGCGGATATAATAGGTGTGGTGACAATGAATGTCTTAACTGAACCGTCACTAAATGGTAAAATATACTTAAAGTACTGTTAAATATGCTCTAAATTAGCTTGCTAAAAGGCGTTCTACTGAGCATGCTCAAAAATATTCAAAAATCGAAAGCCTGTCGAATCGCGAGCATGCCATAAGCATGTAAATTTTCTCGAAGGGCAGGAGTAGGAACGGGATGGTTTTTAGTCAGTAAGAGTCTGACACTCCCTCCCGCCTCACTAAAGGGGAAGAAGTCATTCGATGATCCCCCCCCCCCCCTTAAAATGTGTATGTAAATTCGAACAACATTCCGATACACATGCTACTAAGTGATAAGTGTTTAATTGAAGCCTCTCTTTATACCACGACGATGACAAAAAGGCACACGGCCCACCTGATGGCAAGTGGCCTATGAACACTTGCAACACTTGGGGTATTCTAAGCATGCTTTCATACTTGAAATTAGCGTGTGTAATAAACAATACTCTTAAGCATGAAACAACCAAGCTACTGTCGTCGAGCGTAGTCATCAGACCACCACAGATACAAAAATCAAGCCTTTTCTTTCTTTATTTTTTTTCAAAGAGCCATCAGACCACCCCAGATGGGGCCCAATAGGGCTGATACCGATACGGAGCCGCAGAGGAGTTACTGGTTTGATAGGGCTCCGGCTCGAAGTGCAGGAGTAGGAACGGGGTGGTTTTTATTCAGTAAGTTGTTGACAGTTTGACACTCCCTCTCGCCCCATCTTGGCGGGAAAAGACACTCGATGACTTCCCCCTTAAAATAAAGCCTCCAGAAAAAATACAATAAAAACTGTCGTCGAGCGTAATAAGCAATTGTTTCCCTTGATAAATTAATTTCCTTTTTTTATTTCCAAGCAGATTCATGGTCGTGCTAGTTAGTATATGTAGCATAATGAAAACATAGTCGCTTTATGTCATTCTTGTTTGTCACCTCAATTGATACTGACCGCTTAATGGTAACTCATGACGTGATTTTTTTTTATTTTTTTTTAATTCAGTGGCATTATTTCATAAAGTTGAACCATAGATTGTTTTAAGTGTGTTTAAGGTTGTATTTCATTGGTAATTTTAATTTGAGTTTATTGTAAATATTGGATAAATATTGTTGTACAGGTTTTATTGAAATAAATTTGGATGAAAGCCGTATTAGAGGTATGTGCCCAAAACTGTTTAGCACCTACATTTTTTCTTATATATAATATTTATTTATTTTTAACATAACATAACATCACGCCTTTAACCCCAAAGGGGTAGGTTTTTTTTAAAGGGGAGCAAATCATCGAATGCCTTCTCCCGCCTAGGTTAGGCGGGAGGGAGTGTCAAACTCTTATTGACTAAAAACTACCCCGTTCCTACTCCTGCACTTCGACCCGGAGCCCCGGTAGTAGAAGGGGTTGGCTGAGATGCACACAGCAGTTAATGCCACTGTACAATATAACACCCAGTTTTCACTATTTATATTATGAGTCCCATGTAATAGGGGGTGAGCCTATTGCCATATACCATATATAGGCCATATTTCCAGACTCCGTGCTACTACTGAGATTTTTAAAAACCCAGTTATTCTATGCCCGACCCGGGAATCGAACCCGAGACCCGGTAGTCGCAGTTGCGACCACTCGGCCAACGAGGCAGTCGCAACGAGGTAGGTAAAATAATATCATCGAATTATAATGACGTAATGATCTTGTGAATATCAATTATAAAGGTTTCATCTTAAATATACTGTCAATGTCATCAATGAATTTAAATTTGCTTTGTTAGATGACTGTATAGTATCAATAATATCTATGACTATGATAAACATAACAACTAAGATTAACTCGTCGAGTACCGGTTTTATAGACACAATTAAAGAACAATAGGTTGCGGTCACCGGTGACCGCTTGGTGTTTGACAGTTTAAATACTTACAACTTAAAAATAAATTGATCTGACTGCCTCGTTAGCCCAATGGTCGCAAGTGCGACTGCCGGTCGAGAGGTCTCAGGTTCGATTCCCGGGGAGAGCAGAGAATAACTGGGTTTTAACTCGTCGAGTACCGGTTTTATAGACACAATTAAAGAACAATAGGTCGCGGTCAAGGGTGACCGCTTGGTGTTTGACAGTTTAAAATCAGTAGCAGGGATTTTGAAAATGGTATAATTATGGCTATAGGCTCACCCCTTTTACATGGAACTCATAACATTAATAGTGAAAAATGGGTGTTACATTGTACAGTGGCATTAAGTCCCGTTATGTACACTTCCGCCTACCACTTCGGGGGTAAAAGGCGTGATGTTGTTGTTATTTTGACAGTATCCGCCTTTTACTTCTTAATTTTGAATCCTACTTTAATTCAACGTAATTTAATTCATGTTCTGACGCAAAACTAAACCTGTTCATTACTAGTCGTCATGGCCACTCGACCAAAACAACTGCCAAATTTACTGTATTTTTTTATTTTAAACATACATAACTTCACGCCTGTCTCACATAAGGGTAGGCAAAGACTATGGAACTCCAATTGCTACGATTCGAAGAATTCTAAACGAGCAGTCTGATCATCTGATGGTAAGTAATCAGCGTCGCCCAAGGACACTTGGAACACCAGAGGCGTTACAAGTGCATTACCGGCCTTTTGGGGATTAGGAGTTTGAGGATCGTTGGGGATTTAGGGATTGGGGAGATTGGGGAAGGGGAGGGTAATTCAAACGACGAAACACAACGTAAGCGTTGCTTCACGTCGGTTTTCTGCTCGGCCGTGGTATCACTCCGGTCGAGCCGGCTCATTCGTGCCGAAGCATGACTCTCCCACTCTTAAATATATCGCCAATCTGGTCAGTATTTTTAAAGTATTATACAATAAACAGTTTGAACTAGAACACTTTTAAATCCAAAAATAATGATTTTTTATTGTTTTATCTAATACTTTATATCTGTAAATGTACGCCTTATCCCAAGGTCAACTACTGAGTTCGGCTGTTTAATTTAATTTTTTATGTACCAATTTCCAAGGTCTTATAATGTTATTTAAATATCTTTTTATATAAAAATCTTGGAAAATAGCAAATTAAATAAGCATACAAATTACTTATTTAAATAAAATATAAAACATTAAAAGTCTATTACTAGCCATTGCTGACAAAGGCCTATTCTCACACGGAGAAGGTTTGATCTTTAATCACCACGCTTGCTCATTACAGGATCGATTTCAAACTTATAACCAGAAATTTTAAGTCCAGATTTCCTCACGATGTTCTTCTTCACCGTTTGTCAGTGGTGTCTGAATAATCTTAGAAAGTATATATAACTCGGAAAAGTCACATTGGTGCTTGCCCTTGGTAGGTTTCGCCTCAAGGAGCCATCAGACCACCACAG